AAATTTTTATCATTTGTTACACAGGGACCTTTTGGGACTTTAAGTCCCAAATGGTAGGACTGGACCTGAAAAAGTCCAGTCCAGACTGTTCAGGACCCGGTCCCAAAAGGACTGATTAACATCCCTAATTAGGATGTGTGGCTCTGGAAGATAATTGTCAATTGTGCGTTTTTGAACAAAAGGCCAAAGAAAGTTGACAATCTTTGCTGACACAGTCTTTTCTTTGTCAGTAAAATTTGTTCCTTTGAAAGCTTCCTTTTGAATATCATCTGATGTGATAGCATGTTTGATTTTTGCTGACTCAGTTAGCATACGAACAATTGATATAAGGGACCGGATTGTTTTTGCAGATGACTCTTGAATCTTGAATTCAGTAATTATCTCTTCTACTTCCTTTATATCTTCTATATCATCTTCTTCACCATCCCACTCATCTAGCTCTATTTCACTCTGGATTTCCATGTCTAGACTCCCAGTTGGCATATTTAATGAGTGTTGCAATTTTTTCATGATCTTTTGTACAACAAATATTGATCGATTGTTAATGATGGCAAATGCAAGTTCATTCATAAGATACCATTGACTTAGACCCTGTGACTTCTTTTTTGATTGTTTTGGTTGTTTCTCCTTAGCTTTCCTCTGTTGAATTTTTTGATATCTTACCATTCTTTCAGGTGCAAGATGAATCCGAAGGAGAATTCGGATAACATTACATAAACTTTTGTTATATATGTCTCTATTCCATATGTTAATTGTTGACGTATTACTCGTTGAATTAGCAATTGCTGAAGGTACAACTTTTTTCAAATTAATCTCATTTCTAATTTGCTCAAAAAGCCTGGAAAAAATAAAAATGAAAGTTAATAGCACAAACCCATATAACAATTATAGTATCCACATATTACAAATCTTAAAAATAAATTTGAGTAATAGTAATGATTCTACTTACGTAGACTCTTTTCGCACTGCTTTTCCAATACAACCATAAAATAAGTTTTCAAAATGAGAAAAAGAGAAGAACCCAGCATCGATCAAGGCTGACACATCCTCACAGATTGATGCTATATTGACTATGGATTTATATTCTCCAAAATTATATCCCTGTGGAAAAACATTTGTAAGATCAAGACATTCAACATCTGGATTACCCAGAAAAGAAAATACTTTTCCTGAGATGACCTGATATGTTTGGTAAAAGTTAATATAATAATAAAACATCACAATATTCTAAAACAATGCAAAATTTACCATGTTTGTGGCCTCTTGAATAACACTGCAAAAAGATTTAAATACTTGATGATTAACATTTTGTTCGGAAACTAATTGCTGTTCTATATCAGCCAAGTTATGATCATTTTGAACAATCTGCCATAGAGTAGTTGTAACAACACGATAGTTGTCATTCATGTCTTCATCATCATCTTGTTCAGTCAAGATCATTCTAGAACCAGAATCCTGTGAAGGAGTAGTAGCTAAAGTACCAATATTCATCGAAATAGCTGTCAGATATTCTCCTACTACTTCTTTCCATATCTGCATTGTGTTGGGCTCTTTGATTCTCCCAAGACAGCCAGACAAACCAAGTGTATTCATGTTACTTGTATCTATCATTTCATTAAGTTTTTCTAATACTTTTTCAAGGTAACCTCGAGGTGGTGATTTCTGATTAATATTTTTATCCTTAAACTTGGCTAGTTTTTGTGATGTGGGATTCCCTCTTATTTCCTTTTTGTAATCATTTTGGAGGCGCTCTTTCCTGTAAAAAAAAAGTTAAGCATAACATCTGAAAATTAATAATAACAATGATTCACACTTACATTACTGATCATAGCAAATCTCTTAGTATATCATCACTGATTGATGCATAATCAGCAGGTACCTTTCACTTAGGAGCTGCTCCTTGAGACCTTTTGATTGCAGGTGGAGAGACCATTGATGTGACCATGTCCATATGTATTGTAGCTGTTTGCTTGACCCAATTTTTTGCCAGTTCAAGTGCATACCATGCTCCTTCTGATAATATTGAATCTTGATGTCTCAGGAGTGCAACTGTATGACAAGTTCTATCTCTGCCTGAGCCAATTTCAACTGGTTTTTTATGTGTGGAGAAAATGACAATCCTAATTGCATAAAGGTGAGTGATTGTGACAAGTAAAAGTAATCCCTTTGGAATGACAATGCTTCCATTGGGCATGTGGAGATGAAATCCGTGAGGGACTTCATTATTGAGATATTGTGAAATTTGCTCTCCCAAGGTAGGTTTTCTTCCTGCAGTGAACTTGGACACAACCAGACCTCGGAAATGCAGCCATTTTGTTGCTTGTTGAAGGTTTTCTTTGGCAAAAGGTTTTCCATAAGTAGAATCAAATGCTTCATTGACTCTTAGAATAAATTCATCATTAAAAGGTTTTGAGAAGGTAAGATTTGGTCCATTTTCTTCATAAAAATTTAAGATTCCATGTGTTTCAACTGATAGAACTTGATTGAATGTTAATCTTGATTCATCTTCAACTTTCAGACATTTCTATCAAAGATATAGTGCAAGAATTAATTGCTTAACACAACAATTCATGTTAAAGGTCATTTGCACATTGATAATATTATACCTGTTTACCAGAATCTTCTAACATTTCATGATTATCAACCGAGACAGCTTTCCTTTTTTGTGAAAAGGTTTCAGGCATTTTAAAAAATATATAAATGTATGATGAATTAACAATTAATATTATAGTAAGGAAGGATCAATTTTATGGAGACAACACATATATTAATATTATTATCATAAATGAACCACTTGGATATTATAGAGGATAGAAAAACAAATTAAGATTGAAACAACTTTTTATAAAGATGTAATGAAAAAAAAAGTAATAATGACATAACAAGGTTACAACTGAGAACGCAATGTGAGCTTTTGCTTTTCATGTTACAAAACATGCATACCATGCTATGCATGAATAAAAATTCAAATAAGTTGGGTTTTGCATCATCTTCATCGCAAAGAGCAAAAAAAATGACATCACTTGGGCCAAGACAACAGTCTATTTTATTAAATTCAAAACATATGAATAGGACAGCTGTCCAAGCTTTTTTTTTGTTATTTTTTTTCATAGAGAAATTCCTCTCAGGCCATTTCAGCGCACGAAACTCAACCTTCTACATTTGGCCACATGAAATAATTGTCGTTATTATTATATATACAACGTTATTACAGGAGAGACTGTTGATTGATTGATCAATTAAAATCGTGAATTTAAAATAAAACATTTAATGTGGGTTTGATTCATTTTGTCAACAAT